TAGCAAAGAGAACCTGCACAAATGACACTGACACAAAAACCCACACATACATTAAGCAAAATAGAAATATTGCCTCCCGACCGCCCCCCCCCCATGGTCCCCTCTACCTCTTCTCCCCTTTTTTCTTCTTAATGTAACCCTAATGTCTCAGCAAATGAAACTGACCTATGGAAAATGTAACTTGAAAAAAGAGACATTGTGCATACCTTTGTAAACCAAGAAAACTTTAATAAAATATATTTTTTTAAAAAACTAAAAACTAAAAACCAAAACTCTCTCAGGATGTTGCTGACCACGCATAATGCCAACGGATACAACCATGGTGAATACAGTATAGCTTTATTGCATCTCCACAGTGCTTGGCATTTGCTGTAATGGCCAGTGGATTACTTCAGAACAAACCAAATTCAGAAATCCATCTGTATTTGCTGCATTGTGCTTTATGAGGCATTGTCTGTACACTGCGCTGCAAGCCGCTTGTGTACTGAAACGAGCCAATACCCGCTCAGCACATGTCAAATGCTGCACAACTCTGCTCAACTCAGTACAGGTTTGTTTTTGTGAATGGGAATCTCATTTTATACTTGGAAACACTTGCATGTAAGCTAAGAAGTTGTTTCTTGCCATAATATTGTGGTGTCCAGCAGCACCAACTTGTGCTTCTTCCTGATGTGTGGCTGTAGCATGAACGTGCATAGATGGCGAAATGTGTTCAAAAGGGTGGCAGGTAACTGTATGTAGTTGCTTAGAGCCCATTAGTTAGTTCTGAGTCCTATTCCTCCTCCTTATTGACACCCTTAACCAAGGAATAATACAGCAATTGTGGTTGTGATTTTTAATTGCCGTTCAGTTCAATCGCCTTACTTTTAAGCAATCAGTTTTGACTGACTGAAGCATTACAGTCATCCGATACCATTTTATAGCATTCCATTTTTGCCCCTGCATTCTTCTGAGGAAATTGGGCATGCAGCAATGGGATCCCTTGCCCTAGCCTCTCTCAGTGAAGGACTCAATTCTATTTGCCTGGTTTTTCTTCATTCCTTTCTGGCTTGTTTCGCAGCCCCCCCCCACCTCATTCTGCCATTTGCCGTGCACACAATGGACACAATGGCTTTACTTAGCCAGGAGGGGGGGCAGAAGGACTGCAAAGAGGCGCCAGCTGTGACCTGAGCCCAGGAGACATCGTATTTCAGCCTTGTGACATATTTCACCCTCTCGTGACCTGGTGCCTGCGCTGCACAAGCTGTGTCTGAAATGGCAGAATTGTCATTTGTCAGATGGAGATGGAGGGGGAGGGAAGGAAAGGAAAGGAAAAGGGGGGGGGTCACGCAGAGGAACTGCCGGGGCACCATTGCAAGGAAGGTGTCTACTTCAGCCTCTACACCTTGGTGGAATAAAGAATGAAAATGGGGAGGGCAGAAAGGGAATTTCGAAAGTCTGTTCATATGTTTTAGCAACCCCTAACTCAGCTTCTCTCCTCCCACAGCCCCCCAAACAGACATTTGTGTTTTTTTAAGTAAGTCATCTGGCATCATCCTTACAATTGTCTGGGAGATATCTAAAAGCTTAGAGTCATCCGATGCACTGAGCATACTGTTTTTGATTAATATATGGAAGCTACTAACTAAAAGTGTAAAAGTCCCACTGATGCGTTTATCACTTGTTAAGGGTAATAGAGCCTCCTGGTTTCTGGCCTTATCTATGTATTGCCTCTGGCTTCTCTTTTTTTCAGATCACCTGTGGAGGGGCTGAGTGCTTGGCTGTGAATCCAAATCACAGTTGGTTTTCCCAACTGACTATTCTCCCCCTCCCTAAGCCTTCTTTTGGCTTTTCTTCAGGCCAGATCCCACCTGTGACCCACTTGTAGCTTTCTCAACTACCTCTCTCTCCAGAGTGACCCCAGCAATCCTCATCATTCTTTACCAGAGAATCGCATCCCGCTTCTTAAACTCCTCACCATTGCTTTGACCTCTTTGCCCAGAAGGGTTTTAGGGTCTTTAATTGCTGCATGGAAAGCACAAATTCAGCAAGTGATGCTTTTCCAGGCACACAAATATACCCACTAAATGTCTGCTAGTCATGCAGCCATAAAAAACACAGAGCTCTGCAAGAATATAAAGGTTGCTATGAAATATAAGCATATGTTCCCCTACCTTCACTTCTTAGCAACCGAGTAGAAGAGCTGATGTATTCTCCTTAAGACCTGACATGGACAGCTTCTCACTCCAGTTTTCAAGTATTAGGTAAGCATATCTTCCATCTACCTGAAAAACATGGCCTGCTCCACATAGAAGGTACAGTGTGTGTGGGTTTCTGCATGGAACAGGAAGCATGTGTAGGCTTCTGCAACTAGATGAGCTCACCTTCTCTCTATCTAGGAGGGTCAACAAATTCAAATTTAATTTAATTTCCTGCTGTAGAGGAACTGCAGGACTGTGCATTGTGAGTAGGAGCACCTGTATAGTGGGGGCAATGGCCTTTCAAACAGACCCCCGCCAGCTGCCACTGTATGTACACACAGCATGTCTTTCATTGAAATAGGCTTTCATTCCAGTTAAGGACCTGTCATAGACCTGCCATAGCCAATGCAAGACAAGCCTGTCAAACAAAGCAGGGTTGTTACCCATCCCTGCCTTTTGGGGTGCTTCCAGGTGTGCTTTAAAAAAATCGATTGAGCATTCATTTGTTTGCTGGGAGGTTAGATGACATTGCATCAAAGCAGGTGATGCTTTTAGGTTCCATTGCATTTTTGCATCATGTTCCTTACTGAAAAACGTCTATTTTCTGGGGCAAAGTGGATTTGTTGCACAAGACCTTCTAGTCAAGGACTGTGAGCAACATCATGGGAGGAGCGTTTCCAGCTACCCCAGCCTTTAGAAACCTTATAAGCTGCTGCAGGAGGAACTGCATGGGAGAAGCATTTCTAGGACCAAGGTGAAACTCTCAAGCTCCCTAGTTATTTCTAATGTTGTTGATGTAATGTTGTTATATACAGCACAGAGAAGTTGTTGTTTTTCGTATGCTATATTTGCTGTTATGTTGTCATTTTACTATTACTGCTCTTGTGATGGTTGATCTTGAGATGTTTTGCCGTTTGTTATAAGCTGCTTCGACCATGATTTTTTTCTGGAGAAGTATCACAGAACTGTAGAGTTGGAAGGGACCCTGAGAATCATCTAGTTCAACCACCTGCAATGCAGGAATCTCAATTAAAGACTACATGGAAGACGACCATCCAACCTCTGCTTTAAAACCTGGAAGGAAGGAGAGTGCACCACTTCCCTGAAGGAAAGCATTGGAAATCGTCTGTCGTTCATTTTCAACCCAACACTTCCCTAGGGAGTCCGTTCCACTGTCAAGCGGCTTTTACTGTCAGAAATTTATTCCTGATGTTCAGTAGGAATGTCCTTTCTTGTAACTTGAATTCATTGGTTCAGCTTCTAGCCTCTGGAGCGGGAGAAAACAAGTTTGCTTCATCTTCCATGTGACAGCCCTTTAGATATTTGAAGATGGCTATCATATCTCCTCTCAGTATCCTCTTTACCAGGATAAAAACATACCCAACTCCCTCAGTGAGTCAACTACCAATGTGTCACCTGTATTTGCCTGTAGTTGATTGAATTCCACCCCAAAATAGTGAGAGTCTAGAAGAACCTCAAGTTACAGATTTCTGATTCACCTGCACAGGAAAGCTCAAGCAGGGAGTGTTTACCAGCAGAATTTGCTCATGTCACTTATGAACCAGTAAAATGTGTCATTCTCATCACAACCTTGAGTGATGAAATAAGACACATTTTAAGAAGTTTGCCCATCCACAGTATAAGCTAATTGTCAATGTTGTCACTGGCAGCAAAGACAGAGATGACACTACTGATACAGTGGTGATAAGCCAGTGTCTCCGGGGTCCCTGTTCAGACAAATTCACTTCCTTAACAGCATGGAAATCAAATACTCATTTTTGTTGTTTCGGTGCATGCCATATACTTTTGACTGACTGCTGAAAAAATTACACCTTTCATATCTTTCCTGTATGACTAAAAAAAGAAGCAGCAGCTTTTTAGACATGTTTGACTAACTTATTAATAGTCCCATTCAGTTAAAAGCATAATGGAAATGACACATCTAATTCTATGAATTTAAAGCTAAACACAATCTTGTGTGTCAAAGAACTCCAGTCAGTATCGTTTCTTTGACAGCGAAATCTGAAACATGTTTACTCAGAAGTCAATCTAAATTCAGTGGGACTTACTCTCCAGCAGATGTATTTAGAATGGCAGTCTGAGTCATTCGAGAATAACTACTGCTATCTCACATATTATGTAGTGCAAAAACACAACATTTGATGGACAAGTTTCTATTTCTTACAACAAAATCCTATAGTGTACCTAAATGCTTACCACTGCTTGTGCCAACACAAGCTAATTACTATCTATTATTAAATCAACACAGGAGCAATGCTAGAAGAATTATATGACATTCCCACAACAGAGTCCCAAACAACTGCTTAATGCCTCCATGAAGCATAACATTATACTGTACCAAAAAAATACCTCCGGTGCTTAAGCAAGGAAAGAACTGACAAGGATGGCTCTGAGATTGTATCTCCTGTCTCCTAAAACTTTAGCAAGCAGCAACCACAGGGGATAGGGGATTTCAGTGATAATGAGAATGTTCTTTTCCCTGTTAAACGTAGATGCATACATGTCATAGAATAATAGAATTGTAGAGTTGGAAGGGATCCTGAGGGTCATCTAGTCCAACCCCCTGCAATGCAGGAATCTCAACTAAAGCATCCATGGCAGGTGGCCACCCAACCTCTGCTTAAAAACCTCCAAGGAAGGAGAGTCCTCAGCCTGCCAAGGGAGTCCATTCCAATGTCTAACAGCTCTTCCTGTCAGAAAGTTTTTCCAGATGTTTAGTCGGATTCTCCTTTCTTGTAACTTGAAACCATTGGTTTGAGTTCTACCCTGTGGAGCTGGAGAAGACAACCTTGCGCCACCTTCCATGACAGCCCTTCAGATAGTTTTCTATTACAACAATCCAATCCAATAACAACCTCATTATAACAATGCCAAATTATAATACAATTAATAATACCAATCATTGAGATGCCAGATTATACAATTTAGTAGGGACACTTGAGTAGGGATTTAGTTAACAGGCTACAACCATTAAGCGACTGTTTTGCACTAGCGCAAGGAGAGTGAGATACCATCCTGTCCTGTTCAAGCAGTCTTGCCAGAGGAGAGAGTCAGGTTGTACGATTCAAGTTCTCCATGTGAACAGAGAAATAAAGAGGAGCAATTGATTATCTTGATTCTTATCATATTATTCCCCAAAGATCCAGGACTGTCGATTTGGAAAGAATCAAGGTGACATAGCTAAAGCGTTACATTTTTCTAAATACGGCGGAACCTCTCCCTATCCTCCCACCTTCAGATACTACTAATTCAGTTTTGAGTTCACCCATCTCTCTTGTGACTCCACATCAGTGTAACCTTATGGAAATGATATCCTCTTTTATCTGCTGTCTGATTACTCAAATGTTTTCTGTGCTCCTGAGGCTATTTAGATAAATTGAATTGCACAGTATATGAAGACATTTTTACATATTACGGAAGCATTTTAAATGCCACAAGAAATGATGGAAGTAGTGTGCTATATTTCTGAGCACTGCGTAGATTGGTCATGATTTTTAACATGAACAGCTTTCAGTAGCTTATTTGACTGTAAATTCTTTACAGGCTAAAACGTAGCCACAAATACATACATTATGTACACATATGAACATAAATCTGCATGGTACTGAGGCAGACCATTGTTCCTCCTTTGAAGAGAAGATGCCAGAGACTGGTGCTGGGAACTTGTGTATGCAGAGCATGTAGCTACCACCAAGCTATGACCCCTCCCTACGCTGGAAGCAAAGCTTTGTAGATGTATTCATTTTTCAGTTCTGCGCTGAGAAAAGTAGAACATCATGGGGTATTTCCCCCTCAAAGAGGCTTCTATGACTAACAACACAAACCCAATGCAATTTTCCATTATGTGTATTAATTAGATCAGGCTAAGGTTTCCGGTTTCCTCGGTCTACAGATCAATATCCTCCCAGCTCTGAAATAGATCAAATTTAGGCCTTTTGTTATAAAGTGAAGTTGAAGCTCTCTTTTTTTGGTTCCTTATTGTACTGCAGATTCTGCCCTCTGAACTTGAATGGTGGGCAGTGGAGTCTGGCCACAGTTCAGCAAAACTTAGTCATGACTAAATTCCATGCTATTGTTCTCAATGGGGCTTAAATATGACAAGTCTCTTGTTGGACTGTGCCTAGGGCACCTGGGCACCTAGGGATGGGCAATCGGGATTCAGCTTCAGTGCATTGGTTCATATCCAGCCCATCACTGCTTCTAAGTGCGAGTCCTGAGGTGCTCTCCTGATTCAGATGGAACAGAGATAGAGCTGGGCATCACCTGCATACTGATAACATCTCTCTCCAAATCTCCTGATGACAGCTCTCAGCAGCTTCAAACTGATGTTAAATGCCATGGAGGACAAGATGGAGCTCTGTGGGATGCCACAGGACAATTCCCATGGTGCTGAGCAATAGCTTCCCCATAATTGCTTTCTGGAAACAGTCAAGAATAACTGGCTGCAAGTGGAACCAGGCTTTTATCACTAGCTGTGGTATCTGCTCATTCATGGGATTGTTTAGCCAACTCCTAGGACACAGAAGGCATAAATTTGGATGGATTGGCACAGCTAAACATTTTTTAAAATCCAATCTGACCAAAGGCAGATTAAGGTTATTTGTAGCAAAGATACCTTGTTTGTTTAAAGTCCGTTAAAATATAAAATAAGAATCTTCTTTAAGACCAATGGCTTTCAAAGATCTCTCCATCTCTTCACTAAATGTCACAGAGCCGCATATCAATACGTAAGGTTGTCTTCTGCATGTGTTCACCATACTCTTAATCACGTCCTCGTTTATTCGACCAAGGTAAGTGGTTTTTTGAAAGCTCCAAGGCAGATTTTCAAGTGAATGTTCCTGAAGAGGCAAAAGTATAAGACACTTTAAAATCATCTCAGAGAAACATATGGCAAATACTAAATTAGCCTTGAGCTATATTAATCCCGTTTTTCTCTCCTGGATGGAAGGAGAAGAGGTGGGATGTAGAGACCACTGGCTTTTGTCAGGCCAGGATGTAGCCTTCTGTACAAAGATAAGAGTCACATCCATTGCTCTGCCTGCTTTCGCTTCCGGATCCACTCAGCCCTGGCATGTGGCCCCTAGAACACTGTATATGAGGGGGTGCAGCCCTTGGGCTGCAAAGGCTCTACATGCAAACATGGGCTTTACTACCTAGCGACGGTCCTTTTTCCCAGCTAGGAAGGCTAGACATGACAAGGTTTTCAGTGCAGGACTGAACCACTTGCAATACATATAACATGAAGGTTCATGCATCAACCAAGGGGAAGGTTGTCACACTGTCCCATGGGAAGGAAAAATTGCCTATTAGAATATTACCTGGCTTAATACATAAAATGCCCTTATGTTCCAGAATCGAGATTGCTCTTGAAGAAGAGGCTTCATGTAGATATTTTCAAAGTTCCTGAAGCAGCCCACTAGAGTTACAAATGTTTCATCATCCTCATTCTCTGTTATGTACTGAAGAATAGGAAGCATTGGTGCTAGACCAGTACCAGAAGCAAGCATGAGAAGTTCTCCATACTGAAAATGAAGCAGAAGATGCCAAATACATCTGAGTCACTGGAACTGGAAAAACACTACAACAGAAACTGAATTTCAGCGCCAATTCATCATTTCATCCTATAAAAAAAGTGTGAACACTGCATAACTCAGGGATTATCTTTTCTCCTTTAGCAATCATGTCCACTGTGATCAACTGAGAAAGCTTTACTTGGCAATAAGTCCCAATGAACTTTTTGAATAGACATGAGCTTGTTCCAGAAAGTGCATGTCATGCTAAATCATGGTCAGTGTTGAAATTCAGATGAGAAGGAAGCTTCAAGAGGGAAGGAAACAAACATGGTAGGAGGACAGTGCTCAGAAAGGACTCAGACTTCACCGTTTATCTTTTCTGTCTCTTGTGGTTTGCAATATTAACAGGACAATTCTAAGTATGTTGACTTGGGATGGAATTCTATTTTGTTCAATGGGGAGTGCATCCTATTTAGGATTACAGCCTTAATTATCAAATATAAAAGAAAATTATGCTAAATCTGACTCGACTGCTATTCTTGATCATCTGCTATATTTTCTCCTCTTGTTCTTTTTAAAAGAAATTGCATCCTACACAGATCCATGTCAAAGCTCTGAAGCACTGTGGTGAAAAATCTGAAAAACCCTACCCTCATCCTTAAACCCTAATGGTTTTCCCCTCATTTCCTGAAACCAAAAATAGGAACCCAACTATTTGGTATTTGACTACTTGTAATAATGGCCTTACATCTGATTGTATCTCATTGGTATTGTATTGTCCATTTTATTTTATATTACATTTTTAGATATTATGCTGTTAACTCCCCTGTGATTGCTATGTAGTGAAGGGGTTGAGAGGGGGGTTGTGCGTGTGTGCAAGTATATATATGGCTTTACTTGATTGGCTGAATAAGGAAAACCTCCAAATGGTCCTCTCCAACAAACCGAATCTCCTTCTTTCCAGGATTTTACATATTGTGACATGAGTCCATCTTCATAGCACTTGTAAAGAAAACACAAAACAAACAAACAAAAACCTCATGTTTATATTCTACAAATAAAATTTCATAAACTAGAACAGAAAGTCTTCTATGCATTTTTTAAAAAATCGCTTAAAATATATATTAAAGGTCTAGCACAAGAGATTTAAATTAATCTAGGACATGAGTTACGAATCTAGCATTATTATTTGTTAATTCGCTCAAGTGTATGCAAAATAAAGATTGTCTATTGCTTGTATTGTGATTGTGCTGACTAAGCTGGGTGGCAGATAAAACCACTCAGGTATTTTAAAACCTGCTCTGACTGCAAATAGCCTTTGCACCCGATACTGACTAACAGATACACAAAATAGCACCTAACACATGCAATCATTTATTCATTGTGGATCTCTGTGCATTTATAGGAAAAAGGGAGCTTTCTGAGTAGTGAAATTCAAGTGCACAATGCCTCTTCGGTCATTTGTTCCAGGACTTGTATATTCTGCCTTTTTAATGCTTCCTTCATCTATGAGTTTGGAGTGAAAGTAGTTCAAGCTAAGACAACGTATCACACAAAAATCTGATCACAGCACCAGGCCTTATACTTCCTCTACAATAATGAATGTAAAAAGCATCTGCATCTAGGAAAAAACAGAGTTGGCTCAGTCAGTAGAGCATGAGACTCTTAATCTCAGGGTCAGGGGTTCAAGCTCCACACTGGACAAAAGATTCTTGCGTTGAAGGGGGTTGGACTAGATGACCCTTGTTGTCCCTTCCAGCTCTACAATTGTATGATTCTAAGAAGAGAGATAGCTATGCTTAAGGTGGCTAGCTTTACACAGACTCTGCTCCTATGCCTCTGGCATGACACACAGAAAAGAAATTCCCAGAGGGAGAGTCTATTGCAGCAAAAGCAACACAGTGTGTTGCAGCACCTTAAAGACTTAAGAATTTATTATGGCATAAGATTTCATGGATTAAAGTCAACTTCATCCACTGCAGTGGACTCTAGTCCATGAAAGCTCATGCCACAATATATGCGTTAGCCTTCAAGGCACAGCTGTCAACATGTCCCTTTTAAAGGGAAATTCCCTTATTCCGAATAGGATTCCTCGCAAGAAAAGGGAAAAGTTGACAGCTACGCTTCAAGCTGCTACAGGTGGTCTTTGCTGGTTTTACAATTGCCATTTAGCAGATGGAGCTTTTCTTATCACGTATCTTCATCTCAGGAAACATTGCTGATCAATGTCTGCATGCCAGGCTGCTGTTAAAACTTTAGGAGCTGTGGCAGGGTGGAGTTGCTGGTATATCTCTAGCCATAGTGAGAAGAAGGCAGAAGAGGATGTTAAATTCAAGGTGTGAAGAGAGAGAAGACTTCAGTTACGTTTCCCATTTGGTGAGAGATTGGTTGCAGGAGACAGAATGTATTTGGAATCGAATAGGTTCCTTCCTCGTTCTAATGGGGAAATGACCAAACTGGTTTGTAATGAATTCTTGTAAATAGAAGAGCAGGAGAAACTCCTGAAGAGAAAACCTCTATGCCAGGTTTTACACCAAAAAACACCATAACATTATAGAATCACTCAAAGGGAGGGTTAAGCACAGAAAATCGCCACTCACTTGCACTTAACTGTAGTATCACAAATGCAGCGCCATAATCATGGGACACAGGGGTGTCTGAACAGCACTTGGATTGCATAGTAATAATAATAATATAGTACTTCCAAAAATTGCCTGAATAGTGAGAAATACACTACAATCTACAAAGCCAAGTTATACAAATGGGTGCTTTACGATGGGTGTTCCATCTCTTTTGTTACTGCCGGAGAATAACTATGGTTCCTTTTGGGATGAAAGGTTCTATATAAAGGGAAGGTGTTATTACAATCATTACTACTATTATTGAAATGCAAAACTTGTGTGTAATAAGCAAGTATATATAAAATTTCACAGTCAGCCTATAAAGGTAACCTATTAATGCAGCTCAAATGTAGCATTTCCCCCTCCAATTGCCACAATAATGGTGAAATGATCCACCCACAAGTGTCTTATAAAAGCTATACACACCTCAAAAGGAGTATAATTCATGCTCAAACTATCATGCAATTAATGATAAAACCCTGAAAAGCACACATTCCTGGAGGGTGAGCAGAGGGCAAAATGATGGGTCCCTGTGACCCGCCTGGAAGATCTAGTGCTTGAGGTTTGAGATTTACAGTGAAATCTATCTTCCCCTGAGAAGGTGTAAAGACAGATTAAAAAGATAGACATGATTTTGATATTCCTAGGCTCATAATTATTTATGTTTGCACTGATCCTTGTTAGGCTTAGCCAACATTCCTTCTGAACATAAGGACTCAAAGGCTGCAATCAATAAATCTCTTAATCCCATAGAGAAATCATTGAATTTACTCAGGAGAATTGCCTTATGCAGTGATTGACACTGATCCTAAAAACATTACAGCTGTCTTACAGCATGGAATGGCAGGTACTGTAGTTACTAGTTTCCTGCTGTGGTCATTCTGGCTACACTGCCTGTAACATACCATAGCAATGTAACAGATGACTACCAATATAGGCACAAAGATGGATCCTATATAGATGGCTCCATATTGTCCAAAATGACAGATGAGCCATCCTCAACCCTTTTACTCCCCCACCTCATCACCACAAAACCCTTCACAATGACAAAATGTTGCAGCCCAACATGCACCAAGTAGATGCCCTTCTCTAAGAACAACTTGGCTTAACCATGAAGTAAAGCCTGTTGAGCTGTCAACTCGATTGACTTGGGTGCAGTCTATACATACGGCAGAATGACGGGGTAAAATGGACAGAAACAATTCAGATGGGAGGTAGGATGGGAGCGCATTTTAAGATTCTCCCTTGTGTTGAAAGCTCACTGCAGGTAGAAAACTATGGATTAGGGAAAGTTGTACTTATTTATGGGGGGGGGGGGACGGGACCCTTGCGTTCTGCTTTCCCCTTCGGAAATGGAGTTGCTCCAAGATGTTAACAAGGTGTAAACAGCCATAAAAATAACAACAACAGTAAAATAACATTCCTTCCAGTAGCACCTTAAAGACCAACTAAGTTAGTTCTTGGTATGAGCTTTCGTGTGCATGCACACTTCTTCAGATACACAGTTGATGGACTTCCATTTCATGCGGCTCAATGTGGTGCCTTCCATAGTTCCAGTTACAGATAGGTAGCCGTGTTGGTCTGCCATAGTCAAAACAAAAAAAATTCCTTCCAGTAGCACCTTAAAGAATGCACACGAAAGCTCATACCAAGAACTAACTTAGTTGGTCTTTAAGGTGCTACTGGAAGGAATTTTTTTTGTTTTGACTATGGCAGACCAACACAGCTACCTATCTGTAACTAGTAAAATAACATGTTATTAAAACAAATACCAAAACCAACTAGGTCTAAACACAGCGTCATGAAACAGGGAGGCACGGAGATCCAGAGCTAACAATAAATAAACTAAATTAAGCAACAGCAGAACCAAAGCCTTGTGGTGCTGTTGTTTCTCTAAAAAAAAGGCATAAAATGCCAGCAGAACACAAACAGATAGGAAGATAACCTAATCTCTTGAGGCAGGGAGTTCCATATGTGGCACACAGCCACAGGAAAAGCCCTCTTGCATGTGCCTCAAAAGGCAGTGCTACATGTAGTACATGCCATTTTTTACTTGCAGGAAGTTTCTGAAATGGTACTACCCAGAATCCTGTCACCCCAGTCTACCACCTCATCTCGCTGCATGAGTAGCCCCGTCTTTACTTCAGAGCGAGGGGAGGGGGGCAGAATTCCACATATTGATTAGGACTAACAAGCCAAATCTTTGACTGCAGGCCTCTAGTTATTAAAGTACAAAGCTAAGCACTCAGCTGGCCTAGAAGATGACATGATTCCTATGTCAAGCTGTTAATCTATAGAACAAAGGCCGCTATTTACCTTTATTAAAACTTCAAAGTACCCTTCAGCATTCACAGGAGTAATTGGAGTATAGGCTCTCTGAACCTCCAAACCATTCACTAGTCCTCTGAGGAAGGAAAAAAGAGAGAGAGAAAGAAAGATAGAGGAAGGGAACCCTGATCTGAATCCCTTACAATTCCTGTCAGCAAAGTACTGCTCTCTCAGCAAAGGCTGCTGCCTGAAAAGCACTGCAGGTATCCTTCCTCCTTCCCCATGGGCTGTCCTTTGCCAAGCCAGACAATAGATCATTCCCTCCCATTTTGCAGTGAAATCACAGAGATTCAAGGCATTGAAATAACCTCAGATTTCTCTGTCACACACCTCCCTTAACAATCCTTCCCTTTCCTGGGGCCAGATGAGCTACATGGCCAGCCTAGCTATTTTGTGAAATATAGCTATGTTGCTCACAGAGTAAGGGAATTATAGAACTATACTAAGATTATAATTGGTCTTGGATAGTGAATACATGGAAATAATATTAACAAACAATATCCCACACTCATAAAATTTTGAATTTGGGAATGCTCCCAACTAAATGTGCAGAAAGAATAACAGTCATGCAAAATCAGACCTATCTCACAAAGGTTGCACAGAGGTCAATGATACTACTCCTAGGCTTAATCCATTGTATTCCTACATGTGTTGGAAGGAGCCCGGAATGAACCATGCTCCTGTCGTGGTGCTAGCAACTTCACCCAGTTTATAGAAACTGACTTAATCACAGTCATCTTAAAAGTCCAAAAATGACTTGGGAAGCAATGTACCTCTTGTGTTGGGTTGAAGCAAATATTCCTATCACTCTTGGCTTCCACTGCCAATCAATTGCACATCAACAACAGACAACTTTTCAACTCAGAATAGTCAATTCTTTTATCCTTAATGAAGTTTTGTGAGGCATCTAGCTGTTACAGTGACGTGGAGGATATATAGTGAATTCTAAAAGTTTCCAACAGCAGCTTTATTAATCTGTTTTTAGTGGGCGTCAGGCCTTTCGGATAGATGCTCAGTGTGATATTATGGTCCTCCCACAAAGGGGAGGGGGGAAGTCCAGGAGATTCTTTGGAATCTTGATTTTATGTTGTATGTTGCATACGTGATTGTAAAATTTTAATCTGAAAAGCCAAATAAACAAATTTTTAAAAAGAACGATATTATGGTCAGGGTGTTGGTGTTGGACCACAGAATCTAGAGACTGCACCATCATTCAGTTATAAGGGTCACTTGGGCAACTTTGATCAGCCACTCTAACTTATTTCACAGAGTTACTGGGAGGGCAAAATGTTCCCACATACCTTAGAGCAGGCATGTCCAAACTCGGCCCTCCAAATGTTTTGGGACTACAACTCCCATCATCTCTAGCTAACAGGACCAGTGGTCAGGGATGATGGGAATTGTAGTCCCAAAACATCAGGAGAGCAGAGTTTGGCCATGCCTGTCTTAGAGGAAGAGTGGGGTACAAAGGTAACTCATAACATAAATAATATGAAAGGTGGCTCTGTATTGCAATGGGCATAACTTCCTCAGGGGGAAAAGTTAATATATTGTCCCTATGTGTTGGTACGTGACGATCATTCCAATACACATTTGCTTTTCACCTTTTCCAATTTTGTAAATTGGCTTTCTTACCCACACTTAATTTTTCTGCCTCCAATACAACTAAAATGGAAGGAAAAGCAAGTGTAGGGTAGCATATACCATAAAATTAACAAGGTTAATAAGCTCAGTGAGCTCACAAGTTCTTTCAACAGAGCCAATCTGGGAGCACAGAAATTATGATTTACTTGGCATGAAATCTTTGTAGCTCAACAACAACAAAAAGAAAGTTAAATCACATACTGAGGCCTGTTTAACTAGAGACTTAGTACAGTACCTTAGCACAATATGTTGTCCCAAACTCAACCCTAGGCTGCTATTTCCAGGCAATTCAAATTTATACTGGTAGGTGTCTTCTGTCAGCTGATCCACAGAGCTTATGATGAAAGCTGTAAACGTTTCTGGAGTTAGTTCTGAATTACTACACTGCAAAAGCAACAATAAATAATTACAAGGTTAAGCAATGCCACCCTCTTTTCTTTTTTCAAAAAAATGTGAGTGAATTCTGCCATGGTGAAACATGTTACTGCAAAACACACACACACAGCCTGCCACACACACAAATTTTAAAGACTGAATACATCTGGTCTCAATAAAGTGTTAATTCAGTAAGTAATTATTTGTGAAGTCCCATTTTAATCTGCTTGCCTTTTTTACAATTATGACCATAACAATATGCTGATAATGATTTTGGAAGGTGAGAAACTAAAGGTATGTCCACACACAAATAGTAATAGCACTCCCAAAAGATGATGGAAGGCCATCTAGGAGGTAATTTTCTACCTATCTCAAGGAACGGATGGGCATTCCTCCTTAGTTTGCAGTCTCTCTCAAAAGCAATTTCTTATTTTTCTCCAGACCTCCCACTAGGGCTGCCGTCTTTCTTCCTTTGCAAAACTCCAGCTCTTTTAACAGCTCCATGTCTGCAAGAATTACATGAGCGAAGCTTCTCACAGTACAAAGATCCAGGGAAGAGAATAGCTTATTCGGGCCTCCAGGCAATCTTTAGAAGCAAATTTTGCATTACCAATTTGTTCAAGACATGTTTTATCTTTTTCAGGGCACGTGAGCCATTCATTGTGTGGCCCCTGAATTTGATTGAAGTCTCAAGACTTCAGATTTGGAACAAGGAATAATAAAGAAAAGCACCTCTGAGCATGTGCCTCAGCCTTAGCCCTGGCACATCAAAATGGCTTCCAGGCCAATGGAAAGGGCTTCCAAGCAGGCTTGAACCTTAATACCTATCATTTCAAATATAAAAAAAGCATTTCTCTTTGTTTCTTCATTTCCTTGTTCTCATTTTCCCAGCATGCATTTCACAACCCTATGCGTTTTTAGTCTGAAGTAGGACCCATTGCGTTCAATGGGGCTTAGTCTCAATGGGATCGGCACCTCAGTTCCTAGCATCCTTTCTCAGGTATTACTCCAATAAGCAACATCATATTTTAAAGGGATTTGTGCTTGCCCTCAGTTGCTGGGTGCTTGAGGTGCGTTAACAGAATTGGAGAAAGCCCAGCTGGCACAATGGGATAAAACTGAATTATGAGTAAGTTGTGATGTTCATCAATATGAGAGATGCTAGAAAGGAATGTATTCTCCTGCATGGATTACTATATATTTTCTTGCATTTAAAATGTAATGTTAATTAAGCTTACATATTTTACTGCTTTTTATTGGAGCAAAAATACTTGCAAGATTTATTGGGAAGACAATATGGCAGCAAACTATAATTACAAATATTAAAGTGGGAAATTTGATGAGTGTTATAAAACACTTTTTCTAATAATTCTGCATTCAAGAGACTGACAGGAGAGAAACAAGTCAAAGACATAAACTTTTTGAAACATACTCATATTAAACTTCTAATTAGATATAAAAAGGACAAAATACTGTTTTGGAAAGTAACTGCAAAGTAACCATGTTTCCTCAGAAATAAGGCCTACTGAATTCAGTGGGGCTTACTCCCAGGTGTGTGGGGTTAGGATTGCAGCCTAAATAGATATACCTGAACGTATAGTAGATCAATTTGAAATCAATGGGATCTATTTACAAGGGGGGAGGATAGGACCCAGATGAAATATTAACATAATTTTAAGATTTCTACTTGCTGTTTCTTCCTTGTCAGGAGGCTTCTGTCTTTTTTTGCCTTGGCCTTTTCCCACTGCTCCAGCTCATCCTGATACGTGTCATAGACACAAGGTTTGCAGCCACTACCACAGCACTGGGATGGCAATGGCTCTTTGGGCTTGAGAGACAGCCAGTCATCTTCACTATCATCCATTATCTAGAAAATATAACACTCAGTTTCAAACTGTTGGATGAAGATGATCTGTCCCTACCACAACCAACATGTATTTTAGCACATTTTAGCTGAATTCCTTGCTTGGAAGCACTTCATTTTTTATTGATAATGTTAATATTACTTGTAAACCTCTTAAGAAATTTTGTTACGACCAAGTAGTAAATAAATCTTGTTAAATTTAACACTTATATCTGTTTTTAATCTATCTTTGGAATATTGTTATTTTTAAGTTTTGGTATGTTACTACAGTATTTGTTATTTTGCTTCATGATATACAGTACACATGTAATCAACTGTAACCTTCTACAGCATCATACTTTACTTTGGATTGATGGTGCAGGTCCTACCCCTTAGAAACAGGTTAAACAGGTCATTTTTCCTCCTTCCAACTCTCTACAGAAGTAAAGGCGTCAAAGAGAATGTAAAATCTGTTGTCCCAACAGCGAAAATGTCGAGGCTGTGGATCCTGTCCCCAGTATGTTTTAGGAGCTAAACCTCTGTAAACCTGATCAGAGTTCAGTATGTCATCCTTTCGTATAATGTGGTTGTTTTAGGAAAAACTATCTTGCTGGACTCTTCTGAAGTTACATAATCAGGGGAGGCTGACAGTTTTACATGTACACATTTACATTAAAAAATCCAATCTGGATGCATTCACAAACTAGCTAAGAGCCATATTGGGGTTGTGGCTACAGATGTCTATGCACCTTGCCTTACATAAAAATGAGTACAGTAATGGCCACCAACTTTACAAACAGGTTTAGACAAACTCATGTGGGATAAGACTATCGATTGCCACTAATCATGATGGCTGTGTTTCTACCTCCAGTATCACAGGCTGCATATCTCTAAATGGCACTTGCTGGGAAACATGAGCAAGGAGTATTGTGGCACTCATGTCCTTTCCAAAGACATTTGGCTGGCCACTGTGAGAACAGGATGATGACCTTCATTTCATCCAGTACAGCTCTTCTTTATGTTTTTAAGATCAAAATGTACAGGCCAGGAGGATTCTGGGAGTTGTATTAAGCACCATTAACAATATATGCCAACTTCCCATATTTTCCAGGTACAGTCTTGATAAATTACACCCTTGATGAATTACAGTCCATATTAACATTATCAGCTTTTTAAACAAAAAGGCAGGAAATGGATAGAATCAATTAATATTTTCACTAGCACATATGCACAAGGTAAGTCGTTCTTGAGATTTCTAGTCAGAATGTTAATGTGAGGGAGGGACAAGAGCTGTTTGCAAATGATCCCAAGTTCAGCCATTGGCATTTACTGGTAAGCTGAGAAAGTCCCTTGTTTGGAACACTGGAGAGATGCTCAGTGCAAAAGATATTGAACTAGATGGACCAATGGCTCTGACTTGTAAGGCAGTTTTCTATGTCCCGTTTTCCACTAAGCAGTGCTAGGAGGGTTATTATTTAACCAGTCCCATTAATGCTACAAACATCGATGGCGGTGGCACATCAAGAACAGAAAGTTGTGTGGTTCTGACTATAGCTTAAATTCAGGTCCACACTCCTGCCTACTTTCCTGTGTTGTGCTGCTGCCTCTGCCCTTGCTTGGTAGGTCAGAGGCAAAACTACCTAAAGGTGTGTGGCGTGGGCTGGCTTTGTATAAGGTAATGTGACTGGGAAGGGACACCCAGGTTCAAATCGCTGCTTATTCACAAAGCTCACTGGGTGATCTTGGCCCCATTACGCTCCCTGCCACCTACCTTACAGGGCTGTTGTGAGGAGACAGTGGCTGTTGTGAGCATATTATATATGCTGCTCTAGAAGAGGGATAGGGTATAAATGAAATAATGAGAAAGATACGATGCACCGTAGTGTACATGTCTGTAGGCCTGTCACTGCCTCTCAGCCTAATTTACCTTAGAGGTTCTAGTTACAAGTAGGTAGCCGTGTTGGTCTGCCGTAGTTGAAACAAAATAAAAAAAATCCTTCCCGTAGCACCTTAGAGACCAACTAAGTTTGTTATTGGTATGAGCTTTCGTGCGCATGCACACTTCTGAAGAACCAACTGTCTCTAAGGTGCTACTAGATGGATTTTTAAAATTTTGTTACCTTGGGTTGTTGTGGGGATTAAATGAGTAGAACTGTGTATGCCGCCTTGAGATACTTGGGGGGGGGGGTATAAATGCAATAAATAATGACATGAGGGGCAGGAGAAACTAATCGAATTATTTGGACTTTGGCTTGCATTGGCAGCCCATGAACAAGGAGCCTCTCTCTCTCTCTGCAGGCTGAGCGCCCCTCGATCTCCCCCATATGGAAGCTGCTCTACACCAAGCCGGGCCATGGGGGGCCACCAAGCTCAGCCCCTGCTGCCACCCTCCAGCGCTTGCAGCAGCGATGCCCTACCTGGAGACGGGAAGGAGTGAAACCAAGACCTTTCGCATGCAAAACGTGGACAGTCAAAGCAAAGGTGCTTTAATCGCAGCAGAGCAAGGTGGTGGTGATGGTTGTTACGGGGGTTAAATGAGGACGCGGGAGGACCATGCACACCGCCCGGAGCTGGGGGGCTCCAAGTGCAACAAGCGCCGTGCAATGGCAATGCCCCTCCGTTGCGAAAGCGCCGCGTCCCCTGGAGAAAAGGGCAGGATTAGTCGCCACGGTGCGAGGCGTGACGCTGTTCTTCTGCCCTTGAGGGAACGGGAGGCGCTTCCACCGGCTGCGTCATGGGCAGGGAGAGCCACCGCCAGTCCCCTCAACGGCGAACCCCCGACCCGCTTCCTTCCCACGCCGGGCCCGGACAAGCGCCGAGTTTGCGCAGTGAGGAAGCGGCCCGCTGTCCATCACAACATAGCCCCGCCCCTCTACCCGGCATGCGCTTCGGAGGCGGAAAGAAAATGGCTGCGGCCGCCAGCGGGCGGTGAGGTGTCTGTGGTGGGACTCGGCGACGTGGAGCGGAGGCAGCGATGCTGGCCGTCCGGCTGCCCGCCCAGCGGGCGCAGTGCTGGGCGCTTTGCGGGCAGCGCCGCGCCAAATTCACCTACGGGCCGAAGCGTCCCAGGGAGCCGCTGCCCCGCACCCCGTGGACGGTGCGCGGGCCGCCGCCGGGCGCGCCGTTGCCTTGGTACTTACGCAAAGTGCCTCCGGTGCGGGAGCAGCTTCCCGAGCTCGACGTGGTGACGTACGAGGGGAAGCTGCACCGCGTGCCATGGCTGGCCAAGCCTCGTCACCCCAAGTGGGAGCGCGGGTGGCACGACCCCTGGCACGACGGCGGCCCCCGTCTGGAGGAGATGCCCACTTACAAGCAGCGGCCCTGCTACGTCTTCCACCAGCGGACTCGCGTGCTGGAAGGTGAGGGCTGCCTGCGGGGCCCGCGCTGACCGAGGCTGGTGGGCGGGGAAGGCCGGCCAGCTTCGGGGTGTTTCGTGTCAGGATGGCTTGGGCTCTGAGGGAGTCCTCGAGGGCAGGCGATGCAGGGGGCGGTGGAAGGAAGAGACCGGTCAGAGGTTGGTGCCTGCGAAGTGACAAGCTGAGCTTGGGTTATGCAGGTCAGGCATTATTAATGGCATGGACACCCAGTCCTGCAGCTTAGAAAAGGATCTCGGAGAGGACAGTCTCAGTTTAAAAAAAGGCATGCAGCAACAGCACGTGAGGGGAAAGGGAGCTTGTGTAGAAGTTTTTAAAAGGGGCTGTTCTTAATGGCACAGTTCTATAGCTCTGCCTTTATGGAGATTTTGGCTTCCTAGGTGACAAGCTGTCTCCTCGCTGATGTGGCACTGCTGGCAATCTTTCTCTTGCTAAAGAGCAGGCCTTTCCCAGAAGCACTCCACATCGGAGCAGAGCAGGTGACAGTGGCCAGCCTAGGAGGCTAGCACAGTCACATGGCTCTTCTCTCAGGCAGCTGCCCCAATGTAAAATTATTTAATAAATTTGTTACTTGCTTTATCTTGCCCAGCATCATAATCGTTATTTTCAAAGAAAAGCCCAGTATTTGGAAAGCATAAATACTGTTAAAGGTGGTAGTTATAAGAAGGCGGGAACTGCAAATTAGTGGACACAAACTTGTTGGGCCACATTGTGCCAGCTTATCTATACTTGTCCAGGTTTTGTTAAGTAATTAACTGCAATGCAGGCAGCATTTATAAGGTGGTCTTGGTTTTCTGCTCCATTTTGTCTCTAGAATAGCTCTCCCCGCCCCGCTCCAAATCTTAAAAAGAATGGTGGAAAAGTCCTTGTTCTCGTGTAAGAGTGGTTGAAGTGCAAGGTGCAGTACTAAAGATGCTCACTGGTAATATATTATTTTACTTGAAGGTGTAAAGCAAGCATTGTGGCTAACCAAGACAAAGCTGACACAAGGTTTACCTCCGCGAATACTTAGCATAATCAATGACCCAGCTAATCAATGTGAAAACCAGGATGAGAGAGTCCAGAATGCCATTTATCATGCACGCCTCTGGGGTAGCAGTGAGGAGGATGTACCTAGAGAAACCTATTGGTAAGTCTTTGGTTCAACTTTCCTTTTTTGTTGTTCCATTGTTTGGGACCATTTCTGAAATTGTCATAACAGCTTATATATGTTATTCTTTTAATAAGGCAGTTAGCAAACAGAGTGGTGACAAATACAGCAGAACTAATAGCCTGGATCAGTTTATGCCTCCTTGCAGAGTAGTGATTCCTGCAGAGATACAGGCAGTTAGTTTTTCATACACCCTAAAAAGTCAACTTTTGGGGCTGTAAGAATCAAATGTGCTGTCCAGTTTTAATTCAGAAAAAGCATGCTTTCACTATCAAGTGTTTGGGGAACTGTCCTGAGATGTTCCATGGAGACTGATTCTGTACTCTTGGCCTTTGTATGTGTTTAAATTAAAAACTAGGAAGTTTACTTTTTTATTACTGCACCTCAGATGTGTGTGAGATGTTCTACAGAGTACATAAGGATAGGTTTCTGCCCTATTTAGCTTACAGTCAAAAATCTGACATGGGGAAGCAACAGAGGAAGGGGAGACTGGAATGGATGATGATTTTGGTTGCATGCAGTTGGGTTTGTTACAGTAAAACATTGAGGGGGTTGTGCCAAAGGCTTTATAGAAAATCTGTGTGTTAAGGAGGGATTTGAAGAATAATTACTTTGCACCTTTGTTCTGAATGAGAACAGCTTATGGATAAGGTTGTGTATGTTCTTTGATTCTGTATAAGTGCAGAATTCACTTTAGAATCTTGACATGAATTTAAATGAGTTTCTAGTGACTGGCTAAGAAAGATTGAGGAATGACTGCTAAAACATTCAGAATCTATAGGGCAGTAGTGTAGGTTATTAACCATACTTAAGGACATAAGAAGATCACACCCAAAATCCAACTAGTCCAATGTCCTGCTATTTACTCTGGCCAATCAGATGCCTCTGGGAAGCTCACAAACTCAGCATAAAGGGAATGCCACTCCCCCAGCAACTAGCTTTGGAGGTACATTGGCTATGAATCAGGAGGTTTTCTTAAGCCAGTGGTTGGCTTAAGACCAAGTTTAGCCTCTCCATTTGCCCTGCAAGACTTTTAGCCAAGCTATGTCTACTTGTCCTGTTGGTCAGTAAAGATGTGACTGTGTCAAAAAAGGGGGTTGCAGGCTCTACTGATTTTCATCATTGGCAGCTCCTGCAAAGCCTGTGTGGCTCTTTTCAAGTTTCAACAAGCAGCTGATCTTAGGTGCTTGCAGAGACCCCTTTAAAGACCACTGGTTCTGTGCAAGCACATCTGATCACCAATGCATGCAGAGAGCCATGTGTGGTGTTTTGGATCATTGGGGCTTCAAAGTGCTGCCACTGCTCCTGCCTGTCAAATTTGGTGATTGGAGGGGTGTGGGAGATAGGGATCTAGCCTGCTTGCCTTGCCTTGCCTTGCCACTAGCTGCTGATAGACCTAACCTAGCCTTCATTAATTTGGCTAGTGGTCTTAATGGCAATGGATTCCATAAATTAATTACACCTTGTAAGAAGAATTACTGTTTTGAATCTACTGCTGATAAATATCTAATAATAAAAATTAACTCTCTCCACCTGCATTCGCACCTCCAGTCATCACCCATGACTAGAAGTAGAATAAATTATGCAAAAGGAGACTTGCCATAGAATTTGGGTTACCTTTTGCACAGAACGATTTTAATGTAGCTCTGCTTATGCCTTTGCACAATATTGTTTCCAGATGATTGCCGGTAACACTGATTGGCTTAATTATTGATTCCTGGCATTCTTAATAATGAATACCTGGTGTACTATCCTATGTATAATTAACTGTAACTATAATTTGAAGTTGTGTTAAGGCATTTGGCTGAACACATGAATGGTCTTCAGTGTATTTGCCTGCATAGCACTCCCCCTAGTCCCTGACCATTAACGTGTTCAAGTACAGGGAATTTCCACTCACGTGCAAGTGAGGGTGAGTAGGAGCCTTCCAGCTCAACGTGGGTGGTTGGGAACAGTGTTAGAAACTCAGATACATAAGCTAGGCACCAAATGACTCCTTAAACCAGCGTTCCATTTGCCAAAACGGAATGTCTAGTTGCCATTTAGGGGCCAGACGACTCAAAAGTTGTATTTTTCAATACAACTTTTTGGTTTCTGAAATTCATTCAGATAAAATATAATGGGTAGAATTCTACAGGATATGTTGCTAGTGTGTGAAAACAGTCCAGATCCGAGGATCCCCAGGCATCCACCGCCTGATGAGGGAGATGACTGGGCACCAGGATGGCACCTGACATCTTCACTTAGTCACAAGTGGCCAGTAGTCAGGTGCAAAATACACATAGCAAATTCTGAACACTGGTTGGAAACATAGTGTAAAGTGTAACACACATTTGAGCCTGAACATGCCTTTAGCCATTGCAAATGCTATAATATTTACAAACCAATATCCATGAAAATCCTGCTATGTAATAATTTGTGATTTGGGCACTGTCAGTAAATTAGTTATTTTTTTGTTCTGAAGCCCTGTACTTTTAGAAGACTTGCTTCACTTATGCAGGACGATGACAGCCAAATTCCCCTTATTGGGTAAAAGAATGTTTGCTCAAGACTACAGAGTGGCAGCTGCATGGGAACGAGGTATGTCTCTTTATCCCAGTAGAATTGTCTAAAAGAACACCTCTCCCTGTTCTGTCCACCATATTGCCTTAAGGTCAGCTGGAGAAGCCCTGCTTATGGCCACACCCCTGTGAGATGCTAGGAGTGTGGTGGGACAGGGCAGTGGTGGCTCCTCCTCGGGGAAATATGGTCAGCCCTCACCATTAAGAAATAAAGGCATATGATCCGTTTGCTCTGAAGCTTATGGGATTTTATTGGTGATTTTTATTTATTTATTATTTGGATTGTTTGTAGTTTTTATATATCCATCCTTTTTTGTAAGCCATCTTGGGATCCAGATTGGAGGAAATGCGTGGGATTCTAACAAACAAGTCAAAATAAGTACAGTGGTGCCTCGCAAGACGAAATTAATTCGTTCCGCAAGTTTTTTCTTCTTGCGAGTTTTTCGTCTTGCGAAGCACGGTTTCCCATAGGAATGCATTGAAAATCAATCAATGCGTTCCTATGGAAACCGCCTTCAGACCAGGCCGGCGGTGGGCGAAAGGCTTTGCTCCCGACGGCCAGCATTTTAAAAGCGGTCCGGGATAGCGGGAAAGTGCAGCGCAATTCCCTGCTATCCCGGACTGCTTTTAAAATGCTGGCGGTGGGGAGCAAAGCCTTTCGGCCCCCGCTGGCCTTCCTGGACCTCTTCTGAAGGCCGGAGGGGGGCGAAAGGCTTTGCTCCCCACCGCCAGC